CTGCTTCTGCAACTCAGGTGACATAGCTGCAAGCATCACACATGCTGCAGTGTTATCGTCATCACTGTGTTTGTTATAAGCAGTCACCTCTTCCTCGGTGGAATTTTCAGTAGGTACCTCTGCAAGGGGCTGCTCAAGGACATACCCAATTTTCTCATGCTTGAGAACGATTCTCAAATTGCAGTGCCAATTGAGAAAATTTGGTCCGGTCAATTTGTTGGCATCCAGTATGCCTCCGAAATTCATATGATTACTCATGATTCAAAAGTTGTAAATGACGAAAAATATAGAATCAATATGTATTATAATGCATTTGCACAAATTCAATATGGACTTTAATTAAACATGCTCCCACTGTTTAAAAATAAATTCATGACCCTCATACATAAATTATTAGAATCCACATTTGATTCCCAGTGGACTGGGATCCCATTTGTTATATCAAGATTTATAGTGTACTCAACAAATCTTAATAAAACATCTAGGTAGATATTATTATCAATTGTATCTCCATACAACTCCCAGATCATTAAGCTGACAACTCTCATTTTATGTGTTAGATTAACATTCCTCTAAAACTTATCTCCTTGAGTGTACTCAACAAAAGGTAAATTTTAGTTAAGTCAAACCCATCATTCAGAAATATCAAATATTTCATAGTGTCAAGCATATCCCAAATATACCAGCCTTGAGTGTACTCAACAAGCTGAGGTCGATTTAGGATTCTCGTTTTTCACTATAATGATGGAAAAGGCAAATAATACTGACTTAATATTTTAACGAGGGACTTAACTTAATATATATATATATATATATAATCATGTATCAACTCTGCGAATAAATATACAAATAATAGTATGGATAATTATGAACTTATTCTATCTAGTTTTCCCGAACCAAAGGGAAGATTAGTTGGTCAATTCTTAGGGGGTACAACATTGAATTAATATCAATGCACCATCTCCATGGTTTCCTCCTTTTCTCACGCATTCAATTAGTCCAGCTGCAACATGTATCCTATACTAGTTGGCACGCAGGCTTAAATGAAATTGGACTCACGAGCCCATGATAATAATAACGACAACTGACTCGCAGGTCCAAAATAATAAAAAGCTCGTAGGCCCACAACAACAATAATAATAATAATGGACTTGTAGGTCCAAAACAATTAAGGGCTCGCAGGCCAATAAAACGACAAGAATTAAATTAATCATTCAACACATCCACATGGTCGAGTCCATAATCATCTATAAATAAACATTCATCACATAAATGTTTCCTATGTATAATATCTAATATCATATACAATGTCTCAAGAATCTAGCAATTATAGTCGTCAAAACTTACTTTAAAAAAAAAAGGGATCGAAATAATTAAATAATTAATTAATCATATTAATTAATTAACTTAATTGGTGGGCATATTTAATTAAAATCACATTTTAATTAAATCCCGAATTAGATTCCAACTCTAATTTCATAATTACTGGGCGAAGTTATTTAATTAAAATCAAATTTTAATCAAATTCCGGATTAGAGTCCAACTCTAATTCTATAAAAATTAGGGTGTGATAATTTAATTAAAATCAAATTTTAATTAATTATTGAATTAGAGTCCTACTCTAATTGCAATATATATTAGGGAGGTAATATTAACTAAAATCAAATTTTAATTAACATAAGATTAGAGTCCGACTCTAATAATATGGAATTAAATTAAATATTTAAGTTAAAATCTAATTTTAACAAAATATAAAAACATTAATTTTAAATATAATTTTAACTTTGGGCCAATTTAAAATACGGGTCAAACCCAATTAATAATACAAGTTTAAATCCCAATTTAAAATTTAAATTCAAAACACATTTTTGAAATTTACACATTGGCCCAAAATTAAAATTAAAAGCCGGCCCTTCTAATTCAACAAATTGCAGAACAAGTCCATGTTTAAAATTGCAAATTTAACCCCATTTTCATAATTGCAGGAGCCACTCCGAAATTTCATAAATTTCGGAAGAGGCCCCCATCCCCAATCTCTTTCTACAGAAACCCTAGATGAATTTATTTATTTATTTCTCTAGTGGCATCGGCCCCCCGGAAGGCAATGGTGGCGGGTCTTGTTGCCCAAATTAGCAGTGCGAAGGCCCTGCTACCCAGCAGCGCTCAACGCCTACAGCCCAGCAGCGTGCTACTGTGCGGCGCCACTGCCCGCCTTCGATCTATTTTATTTTTATTTTGTTTTTCAAAAAAAAATTTGAAAAAATAAAATTAAACACTACAATTGCTAGATTCAGGAATAAACATGATTAAATCAACTTTTAATTTAATCAACATGTAAATCAATTCCTAACAAATATAAAGTTGGCTCTGATACCATTGTTGTGGATTTACTTAAACATGCATTGCAGAAATAAAACATTTTCAACTCCCACCAGGACCCATCTTTGCATTTAGATAGGAATTGTGATAAAAGTTATACATTTTCTTAGATCTGCAAACTGATTTGCGTTATTTTTGTTCCAAAAACTTGGATTTGCCTCCCACAGCTGTCCAATTGTCCAGCCTCCAATGAATTCCACACAGAGAACATATTACAGCCATCAGGGTTTTCACCTCTTGTGCTAGCAAGAATTATGAGATTCTCTACAGATTGAAAATCCTAGTCATGTATTTATATAAGCTCAAACCGATTTGGCCTGGTCCGATCCAATATTTAATTAAATCCAGTCCGTGAATTAATTAATCCAATTAATTAATTCGGACTCATAAATAACCAACCCAATTAATTAATTTATCCAACGATTGTTAAATTAATTAATTGACAAATTGCAATCTTCCAATTCTCTTTTGTGTTCGACCCATCAAGTTCTCGATCACGATGCCTAACGACGTGAAATATTATTTTGATCTAATCAAAATTGATAAATTAAAATACTCTTTTAATCTATCACCAATTCACACTCGCTGTCCCAGATTGACATCTAGCAATGTATTAGGGAAACACATGTGACAGGAAATGTCATATGATATGACAAATTCAAACTTGTTCGTTTACCATAAAACTATAATTCCTTCGTCAATGTGATCCGATCAATTACGAGATATGAAAGTGTGTCAATCTCGATTATCGGTCATATCTTTCATTCTACTATTAAGTCAATATGAGTCAAAAACTCCTTTTCGACGTATGTGTATACCTTGGTCAAGGATTTCGTTATTGACTTAATTGAACGAAATGCAGATCACAATCTCTTACTATCTAAGAGTGACAAATCCTCTATTGATCATTCACAACCTTCATATGGTTCTTGACATACCCGAACGATGCCGTATTAGCGGCCCTTAGTAGAGCAACATCCAATACCATCAAAGCATGACTGTCCTCGTACAAGGCACTATGATGATCTCAAGTCAAAGGACCAATTCCACTACCAAACGTTAGAGATTAACCACTGAAACTCAGATAATTATCCATGTGGAATCTCTTAGCGGGTCTCCAATGTTTCGTTCTATAACAGAACATCCACGTGTTCATTTAAGTGTTACAACACTTTAGCTTGTGAGATCAGCTATTTACTTCACAAGTAAGAAAGGACATACATGATGGCCTATCTGTAATAACGAATCCGTATCTCGTTATTACTTACGACCACAAATTATTCAAGATCCAATCATACGTAATTTGTATCTCACAATCACAACTCATTGTGATTAGCAAATCACTTAAACTTGAATTTTTGGACCCTATTATTTAATATTATTTATCAGATTATCAATTTAAATAAATAATAGATCTTGCCAAAAATAAATGCATTAAATATATTAAAAGTGTTTACAGCCTAAATCGATTGGATTTAGGGCATGACACTTACAAAAAAGAAGGATTTTCTTCACTTTTTCACCGTAAAGAACCCAAAATTTATACGACTTTGTACTCAATATATGCATTTTAAAATTCAACCCGAGAGAAGGATTGTGATAGTTTTAACTTGATTATACGGATATTCACTTCTAGGATCTTGAAATAAATGCAAGGTCATGTTTGGATGTATGGACGAGCGATGATGTTTGGCTGTCAATAAATCAGTTAAAAATACTAGCTTCTAATTATAGCCAAGCACGGTATCTTTCTTTGAATAATTCTCCTTGAACAAGGGCTTTTGACAGTGCTGCCATTTTATTTTTCAAATTGTCCAATCATGTATCGACACATGTCACTCTATTTATTAACTTGTCATTGAGTCTATCACTGTAACATGATTGCTTTCTTTTGGCCCATACTAAGATTTTTTAATTTTTTAGAGTTCAGATTATCAAGTTAAACACTCAAAGATTAAAGTAAAAAATGTTGAATGATTTATTCTTTAATGGGTTAATTTCACAAACGGTCACTAAATTTACGCGAAAATTACAAAATAGTCACTGAAGTTTAAAAAACTCCCCAAAATTTTTTTTTGAATGTGTGAGGCTTTATGTGTGACGACTAGGAAAATTTTCCATTATGTTTTTTCCTTGGTTTATGTTGGTTTGAGTGTTCCACGACATCATGTTCCTGCATATAGTAATTCAAATCAAATATTAAAGTTCAAATAACCTAAAACATGTGTTACTTGGCCCAAACAATCAAAATATCAACAATAAATTAAATAGCCTAAGGGGAGTATTAAGGATGGTGATACCCTACAAATTAAAACGTGCTTAAATCTAATGCAACCGAGTAATCAAATCAAATCTATGTGCTATGCGATGCAGAAAGAAAAATAACTAAAAGAGTTAGAAGATTGGGTTGCCTCCCAATAAGCGCTTAATTTATAGTCTTTAGCGAGATTGTACGAAGGAATTGATCGGGGTGGTTTAAACATATATCTTGAGTTTTTGCACTCCTTGCAATTTCCGACTTTGCATCCTCGTTTTGCCTTCCAAACCTTGAACCCTCCATTCCTTTCTCGTCCCAGGCTTCCTAAGTTTTTAGGCTTTGTCTCCTTTGAGCGTTGTTGCACCTATGCAGCAATATAATTGCACTCCTCCTTAACCTTTTTGCTGAACTCTTCTTGTAATGGATTCTCGATAGTGTTGTAGATCTTGAACTTTTCTTGCTTATCTTCTACCCTCAATGTTAGTTCGCCACTTTCAAAGTCCATAATAGCTCGGCCTGTTGATAGAAAAGATCTGCCGAAGATAAGTAATGCTACATTCCATGGCTCCTCTATATCTAGGATAACGAAATCAACTAGGAATATGAATTTGCCCACTTTAATGAACACGTTCTGAACTACTCCACTTCGGTATTTGATGGATTTGTCCGCCAATTGAAGGGAGATGGATGTGTCTTTCAGCTCTTCCAAACCTAAGTTTCTGTATACAGAAGAAGGCATTAGGTTAATACTTGCTCCAGAATCACATAAGCAATTAAAATTTAAATCTTTTTCTATTGACCAAGGTATTTTGAGACTCCCTGGATCTTGTAATTTAGGAGGTAATTTATTCTGCAAGATGGCACTACATTCTTCATTTAACTTGATGGTCTCAAAATCTGTAAGCATTCTCTTTTTTGCTAAGATCTCCTTCAGAAATTTTGCATAGTTTAGTATTTGAGATAAAGTTTCAATCAATGGGATATTAACATGAAGTTTCCTGAAGATATCCAAGAACTTTGCAAATTGTTCTTCCAACTTCTTCTTTTGTAATCTATGAGGAAATGGGACCGGAGGCACATAAGGTTTGATAAGAGCGGTTACCTTGACCTGTAGATTTTCTAGCTCTTGAGATGGAACTACTTTGTCTAGATGTTTAGATTTATCCACCTACTCCTCATCTGTAAAAGGTGACTTTTTATTTTCTGTCACCCGTCTCTCAACTATAATTTCTGGAAGTTTAACCCCACTGTGTGTAGTGATTGCTTCAATCTTCTCACTCTCCATAACTTTTACTGTCATTACCTGCTGTTTAGGATTTGTTTCCGTGTTGCTTGATGTCTTTCTGAGAGTGCTTTTGCTATTTATCCCATCTGATTTTCTAAATTCTTGATAGCAGCTTCCTGAACTTGTAAAGTCTTATCTGTTCTTTGCATGTGCTGAGTAGAGATCTCCGCCAATTTAGTAATAAGATCTTCCAATGAAGACTAATTTTCAGCCTGCTCAAAACTTAGCGGTGTAGTCTGCTATGGTGCAATCTGAGCTCCCTGATTGTTGCTCCATTAAAAACCTGGGTGATTTCTCCAGCCTGGGTAGTAGGTATTAGGATTCTTATTATGTTGTTGTCTTTGAAAATTTTGAGCATAATTTATATCCTTTAGTGATTGAGCAAAAGGACTACCAACGGTACAATTAACACTTTCATGATTTCCTCCACAGTGCTTACATTTTTGTCCGACTGTTTGAATGACATTCATCTTATAGACCTTTTTAGCTAAAGCTGCCAGCTGTGCTGAGATTGCAGTTAATGGATCCACCTCATGTATCCCAGCTAATTTCTTTACACTTGTTCTTTCAGTAGGCCACAGTGCACTAGTAAATGCTAAATCCTCCATGATTTGATATACTTGATCTGTTGTTCTCTTTGTGATGGAACCATCACATGCGGAGTCAACATTAGCCCTGCTTTTCGGATTTAGTCCAATATAGAAGTATTGCATTTGAAGCCACTTTTGCAATCCGTGTTGAAGGCAACGGCGAAGTAAACCCTTGTATCGTTCCTAAGCCTTGCATTCTGAGTCCATTTGCTGAAAAGTAGTGATCTCGTCCCTTAGCTTTTCAATCCTTTTTGGTGGGAAATATTTGCTAAGAAATTTTTTACTCAATTGGTTTCATGTTGTCATTCTCTGTGGTCGGCAAGTGTCTAACCATCCCCTTGCGGAGTCTCTCAATGTGTATGGGAAGAGCCTTAATCTAATTGCTTCGCTTGAAACCCCCGGATACTCAATTGTTGCACACATGTCTAGGAATCTTGAAATATGAGCGTTGGGATTCTCTGTAGCTTTCCCAAAAAATTGTAGCGCATTTTGAAACATGTTGATGACATCTGTTCTCAGGTGGAAGTTTGCCTGACAAAACGCCGAATATACGATACTGGACTGGCTTTCCATTACCAGTGAAACCATATACTCTCCCTCATGCCTTGCATTTTCATTCACTGCAACGATATTCAGTTGTGCTACTCCCAAATTAGCCTCGATGGCTAGTCGATTCGGATTTTCATTTGCCATGTCTTCCTCTTTTTGTTTTTGGTATGTTTCAAGCTGTTGTCTTCTTTGAAAGTTGAATGTTCGTTCGATTTCTGGGTAAAATTGAGCAATATCACCAGTTCTCGAACTTCGCATACAAAGTCTTGAAAAAGAAAGCAAGAAACACTGTAAAAATTTTCTAAATTAATGAACAAAACTAAAAATAAAAAAAAAATTTAGATTAAAGGTAAAATTAACTAAAACTAGTCAAAAACAATAGTCCCCGGCAACGGCGCTAAAAACTTGATTGTTTGATTATCCGCAAGTGAACGAGATCGTGAACAAGTAATATAGTAGTGTGTAGAGTGTCGAACCCACGATGACTATGTGTTTATTCCAATTAAAATTAATAATACCTTTAATCGAATAGCGAAATCAAGTTGGGACTAAACAATAATAAATCTGGCAACTAAATTGAAAGCAAAGTAAGAATTTATCAAATTCGCGAGATGTATTGCTAAGATGTGGAATCCCCCTTGCTAATCCGTTTTTTGTTCGACAATTTAAATTGACAATTTGAAATCATACTTGTTGGTCAATGTTCCTATTTTAATTGAAAACCTCTCTCGATAATTATCAAATCTATTCCCCTCATGTGACCTTCATATCCCTCGATGAAAGATGCGAACATGATAAATGTATTAAATAAGTTAGAACATTTTATGAAAATCATATGAAGCATAGAGTTATATCTCTATCTTCTATCGAACCTCACAATATTTATTACTATGTGCTAACGATCTTATTACCTCTCTCGATGATAATAAAATTCACAAACAATTCAATTAATGGCCAGATAATTGAAAAGTAATTTAAATCATAATAAACATCCAAGACTTCAAACAAATTTAATGTCAATCTAATTATTCAAACCAAAAATTCATAATAAGGGTTCATCACATTCTAGCAATATAAAAATCTAGCCACGCATAATGTCGAAATTAAACATGGAAGAGTTAAAAGACATCACCAAAAATTTTAACGATTTCTGGTGCGTATAAAATTCTAGTAGGCAGCTCGTTTTATTTTCACAATATGTTGCAATTGTTGAATTTGAAGACCAACAAATTGGCCGACGTCTTCTGTCTTTCATGTATATAAATTCCAGCAGGCATTTAATTTCCAACAAGCAGCTTGTTTTCTCTTATTATTCAATTTCTTATTCCTGTGCGTGTACATGTTTCTTGCAACCACTGAATTTATTAATTGAAGAAGTCAGCCTACATTTGCCCAAAGCTGCTGACTTTCTGTATTTTTGTTCCTGTTTATGTATGTGGTTGATTTCAATAAGAATCAGCCCTTTATTTTTTCTCCAAGCTGCTGCCAATTGTATGTTTATCTATTTAATTCCAGCAACCGGCAGCCTCCTCTTGTCTTCAGTGCGTGTTTCCTCCTCCGTGTTTTTGCCAAAAATCCCCAACCAGTTGTCAACTTTTTAAATTAGAAGAGAGACTCCCCAAAAAGAAATCAACTGCCGACTTCTCTTGTGAATGTATTTTCTCTCCAGCCAACTGCAATGTGTTCTTTTCTCCTGTACGTGTTCTGCCGTCTATTTCCACGTATGAGATATATTAATTGATAATGTGGCAGCTCTCTCCTCCTCCCAGCAGCAGCAAAAATTGACTCCAAATTGAAATCCAATTCTTCTCCCAGCCGCCCCACCTTTTCTGTGTAATGGACATGTGTGTGTGTGTGTGTGTGTGTGTATATATATATATATATATATATATAACTCAAACCTAGTTGCCACCAAATTCAACTCCAATTCCGTCACCTGTGTGTGGTCCAAATAAAATTTGTATCCTTTCATAATTCAAAGCCCATTTGAATTCCATTCCCATTACAATTAGTCTAGGATTGAATTTAGTGGAAATTAAAAAAATCCAGGTATTTAAAGATGACAATACAAAATTCAGGTTGGAAGCTTTTTTAATCAGAAATCAGGTATTATATATTTATACCCACCCTACCCAACCAAACCCTAAATAAATTCATATCCTCGTCTCTCTCTCGTAACCCTCTTTCCCTGTACCCATTTATATTCTCTCCACCCATTTCGATTCATCTTCATCGCCGTCGTGTATCATTCGTCATCGATTCCATCAATCGTTGGTCAGTCTACCATATTTACCCGACGATATGTTGTGGTGACGCTTGGATATGAGCGTCACTGCTGCGAACTGTGCTCGCGCTCAGATCCTAGTCCCCGCAGTGACATTCAGTCTCAGATCAATGCTGTGAGATAGTGGTGTGGCTGGTTACGGTGATGGTGGGTGAGGATGCGGTGGTGGTGGCACGTCGGTGTGCAGTGGTCTGTTGATCAATTTCCAGTGGTTCAGATGTGGTGCGGTAGGTTGGTGGCTTCGAATCTGGTTTGTGGTGGTACCGTGAGTACAGTGGTGTTGGCGGTGTCATGATTTGGGTGGTGATATAGAGGTTAAGAGGTGCCGGGGGTGTATTGTTTGGAGTTTCTGGTCGTGGTTGTGTTAGGAGACGTAGTTATGTTGGTGAGGTTGTGGGTTGGGGGGTTTGTGTGATTGGTGGTGACGGTCTTGGTGGTTTCTGATGATGGTCGAGGTGGTGGTTGGTGGTTGGAGATTTGATAGAGGTGGCGGTGGATCGGGATCGAGGTGGGGTGCTTGGTGGTTGGTGTTGATTGCCGGTGTGTTTTTTCTGTTGGCGATTGTCTGTGACCTTAAAATTTGGTCCATGACCTTAAAATTTGATAATCTGTTATTAAAAAATAATCTGTGACCTCAATAATTTGGTTTGTGATCTTAAATTTTGATGATATGTGACTAAAAAATAATCTGTGACCTAAAATGTTTTTTATCTGTGACCTCGAAAAAATTTATGACCAATTAATTTGATGATATGTGACCAATAAATCAATTTGTGACCTATAATTATGAATTTGTGATCAAAAATTGTTAAACTGTGACTTTATTATATTTATTTAATAAATATTTTTAATTAATTAAATTCATACCTAAATTTTGAATTTTCAAACATTTTACCTGGGTTTTGAAATGGTGTAAAGAATACACCTGACATATGAATTTTTACCTTGAATTTAATTCTAATCCAGTAAAGGTCCAATTGACTTGTGACTTTTATTCCAAAGTTCAAATGCTGCCCAATTAATGTAGTATTTTCTTCGAAGATTTATATTTTTCAAGTAATGAAAGTTGGTCCTTGTACTTTGAATTTTGCCATTTTTTGCTAGTTTGTGCTTCTTTCCTTCAATTCCCTTTTCATGCTAAAATTTACCTATTAAACATAAAATACAAAAATTTAGGATATAATTTGTCAAAAGAATTATCAAATATCATTATTTTAGATATCAAATAAGTGTATAAAATACACTTATCACTTTCAGAAACGGTCACTTAAGTTTTGGACGATTTCACTTATTATCATTGAAGTTTTTATAACTTGCACAAATGGTCACTGAAGGTACCAAAATGATTCTAATTCAAACTTAAGGACCGAAACACGTGACCATACAAATTTTTGAGGACCTCAGGTGCAAACTTTTGGCTACCTTTAAAAGCCCCCAAAAATTGGCTTCATTTGATGATTGGGGTCATTTCTAGATTAATTGGTGCAATTGAATTATTATTCATGGTCGTATGATGCTACTGGAGACTCGATTGGGACCAATTTTGTGATTCAATGATGTGGGGAAGGAGGAATTGAAGGATGCAGATTTGATTTCTCATTCCATTCGATACGCAGGACTAGTTAGTTCGATTCAACCTTGTTGGTTCAAAATTGGCGTTGACCCATAGGTTTATTGGAAGTGACAAGAAGAGGCGGTCCTAGGAGTGGTGGTCTACGACCGTGGGTAGCGTCGCCGACGTTGAAAATTGGGGCTGAATGGTCTGAGTTTGCTGTGAAAAAAAAATTGCTGGAGATCTTTATTTTTTGATTTGTTTGGTTCGAAATCGGCAGTGACCCATATGTTCATTGGATGACCCATGAAGAGGCGAAAATAGGGGTGGTGGTCCGCTACCATGGGTAGCGTTGTCGGCGCCAAAAATTGGGCTGAATGGTCCGAATTTGATGTCGCAATTTTTGGCCCTTTTTGGTTGCATGGGAAGCCGTCTTTGACCAAAAATTTCAGGCAGATCTAATGGAGTTTCGGCCATTGGTTAGGTGAGTTGGAAAGAGTGAAGTGAGGGTTTCAAGGTGGTATGTTGGTTTGGCGGCAAGGTGGTCGGAGGTTGGAGTTGTGGTGGTTTATAGGTGGCGGCTCAAAATCCTCCAAATTCACTGCCTTTGCTCCACTAGTCGGAAGTTTGCACCTGAGGTCCTCAAAATTTTGTATGTTCACGTGTTTTGGTCCTTAAGTTTGAATTAGAATCATTTGGTACCTTCAGTGATCATTTGTACAAGTTTTAAAAACTTCA